GAGCCCTGCCAATTCATAAGCAATGACCCTTTTCCCCCTGTGAGACGGCTGAACTCCATCTGTCGCCAGCAGGCCCGGTGCCGTGTAAACCCCCCCATGATCAAAAAACCCAAAATTCTGCCGATGGCACCAGCCCCTGAGCCACGTGTTGATCAGGTGTGTTTTCCTGTTCCTTTCAGTGTCCTTCCCTGCCACTGTAGGGATTGAGGAAAACACTACCTGTGCTCCTGATCCTTCAACCAGTCGCCCCAGTGCCCTGAAGTCCCTTTTGATCGCTTCTGGACTTCTCTCTGCAACCTCGTCACTGCCAGCCTGTATAACCAACAGCGGGTAGTAATCAGAAGGCCATACCAGACCAGGGAGTTTCCTAGTAATGTCTCTGACCCAGGCCTCACCATCTATCCCATTACCCAGCCATTTGCTACTTCTAAGTCGTGTTGGCATTTCATTCCCTTAAGACAAAACAGCAAAAAAACCCTAAATACAAAAAACACCCTAAGGAGGATAAGTCACCGTATTCTATAGAAAAAGTGAAGAAAAAGTGACCACATAGAAGGAAAGCTTATAGCAGGCTACATCCAAGTTCTGAAATCTCACGAATGGGCACAGCAATCCTACATCTATAAAACTGTTAATGAGAAAAATGTGAAATAATGTATTTTATCATCCTCAAAAGGTCTTCCTCTTATGACTCCATTCTAGTATTTCTAGTAGAAAAAGTACTTGCTAACTTTTCAATTGACATTAAAACATTATGGTTTGAAAATGTCAATTACGCTCTGTTCCAGGCAGAGATTTTCCCTTGTGTTCATGAGTCTGAAAGCTTTTCTCATTGTTGATGCTGCAAACATAATGAATCATTCTTTATATTTTATCTTTTAATACCACCAATTTCATGACTAGGCAAGGCATTTCAACTCAAGTACTGCTTCCTACATGGAGGTCTCAAATATTCCTTTTTAGTTCTGAAATAAATAAAACCTGATGGCTGATACACTGAAATGAGCTGTATTTCATGAAATTCAATATATGAGTGTACTATCACATACTTTACTTTTATTGATAGCAGTATTCATCCTGCAGTTAATTCACTCTTGACATATGGTAACAAGTACAAAAAACTAACACACTGGGAAATCTCTTGGAATCCTTTGGTCAGTCGCTGGCTAAATTCTGATGTCAGTTATGCAAATATTTTAGTTGCACAAAAATGTAGATCTGCTTTTAATTGAGCTGATATTTTTTAGAATTACCCAGAATTTTAAACTCTTAATTCCTGATGTCCTCATTTAATGCTATTTAAATTCTGAGTCTCTTTGGAAGGACATTTCTAATACATCATTCTTGATTAATTAGGCATGACTCATCACTACCATCTAAGTTTCCACACAATTCTTCCACATCCAAATGGCACCCCTTCCAAATTATATGATCCGCAACACTTGCAGAAAAATAGGAGAGGGACAAAATACCTTGTTAGTAGAAGATTTCTGGAAACAAACCATCTATTCTGCATTCCAACAAGTAGAATATATTATACTAGGATCATAGGATAATGGAGATTGGAAGGAAGCTCAGGAGGTCTCTAGCCTGACAGGAGTCAGTTATGAACACAGACCACGTTGCTCAGGGCTTTATCTAGGTTGGTGTGAAAGTGTCCAAAGATGGAGACAGCATAGCCTTTCTGCACAACCTGTTCCACTGCCTGACTGTCTTCATGGGGAAAAGGTTTCCTGTTACATGCAGTCTGAACCTCTTTTTCCAACTTACATCCATTGTCTTTTGTCTTCCAACCATGCATCACTGTGCAGAGCCTGGCTTCAACTGCTCAATAACCATCCCGTAGATACTGGGGGTTGCTGTTAGGTCCCCCTGAAGCCATCTCTTCTGCAGGCTGAACAAGCTCCATTCCCTCAGCATCTCCTCACAGGGCCTCTGCTTCTGCCTCTAACCATCTTGGTGGCCCTCTGCTGACCTTCAGTCCAGTTTATACGTCTTTGCTGTATTGAGGGCCTGCAAACTGGATGCAGTGTCTAGATTCAGTCTAGCTTGTGCTGAGTAAAGGGGGATAATCACTGCCCTCTATCTACTCACTGTGCTCCTGTTAAAACAGCCCAGGATGCTGTCAGCCTCCTCTGCTGCCAGGGCACACTGCCAGCCCATGCTCAGCTCACTCTCTACCAGGACCCTCAGGTCTTTTCCAGCAGAGCTGCTGCCTAGCCAGTCAGCCCCCAGCCTGTGCCAATGCAAGTGATTACTCAGTCCCAGAGACAGGACTCTGCTTGTGCCCTTGCTGAACTTCATGAGGTTCTTGTCATCCCATTCCTCCATCTTGTCTTGGTCCATCTGAATGTCAGTCCTGCCCTCAAGTGTTTCCTCCAGTTTGGTATCATCTGCAAACTTGATGAGTGTGCACTCTTTCACCTCCCTCCAAGTCATAGATAAAGATGTTTAACAGAACAGGTTCCAGTGGAGATCCCCATGACACACCACTTGCCCCATGTCTCTGGGTAGAGTACATGCCATTTACCACTGCCCAAGACTCCAGTCATCTAACCAGCATTTTACCCATACAGTTTTCCACTTATCCAGACTGTAATGTCTGAACATGGAAATGAGAATACTGTCTGAGACACAGCATTCATGTGCCCAGAAGTATAGCTCCCCAAATCATCCTTTTGTTTGAAGATATGTGAAACTATGAGTTTTTCTGCTGTTGTTGGAGACCTCCCCCAGATCTCCACAACCTTTCAAAGATAAGAAAGCAACCATACAAGGACATTGGCCTGCTCTCTCTGCACCCATCTGATCCTGTGCGCTTGTATGGGTTGAGTTCTCTGGAGCAATCCCTGTCTAAAATCATCCACTGCTGGTGACTCTCCTCCTGCTTGAAGCCTGCCTCAAAGCAGAGGCCTGAGAGACCTTGTTGGTGAACACTGAGATTACCTCAGCCTTGTCTGTGTCTGCAGAATTACTGGATTGTCTGTGTGTATATATTTATGCATTTAAATATATGTAATATATGTAATACGTAATATTACTTATATAACATGTAAACATCCACACCAGCTGGTGTTATATAGTCTTAAAATGAGTCTTCTTCAATGGAGTCAGTCTGAGAAGAGGTTCTTTTTCTAATGTAACATGGTTATTTGCATTTCGTTGTCATCACCTCATACTCTTTATTCTAGGATCATCAAACCATTTTAAGAGCATGGGCAGTTAAAGACTTCGCCCCAAATTGTCCTTTGTATGTCCAAATACTGAAACCTGAGAATAAATTCCACATCAAGTTTGCAGGTAAGTGTAAGATTACAGCCATTTGAAACAGTTCTTAATATTTGGCAGTTTGTTTCATAAACACACAAGCAAAGTGAGATTCCCTAGGCATATTTACTGGTTAGAAGCAGATTAAGAGTGCAGTATTGTAAAATAACATGGGCTGTATATATCCTATCAATAGTAAAATGTCATGTTTTACATTAAAGTCTTATTTATAAGCACTTTTAAGGATTATTACTCTCATGTTGCATAATATACAGAGTAAAGTTTTTGTTATATAACACATTGTTACTCCTTAATTATAAATCCAGGTACGTTTCCAGCTTGCTATATCCATACCTTTAAATAATTCCTGTCTACTAAAACATACTGTTACTAAGGGGTATATGAGAAGATCTGCTCAGGAAAGGCCAAATTTTATCCAACAAAACTTAAAAAAAAAATCTTCCCATTGGACTGTTTTTTTCTAAGTGGTATGAAAAACATTATTTTAATTACTTTCAAATATTCTAGAAAGAGACATATAATTTAATTTTATATCTAGTAAAATGCGTGTCTTAAACTGTGACATAAAATGCAAAATAATGTTAAGGAATCCAAACAAATCCTCTCTTATAAGAAGAGACTACCAGCTTTAATTTGACAAACTGTTTCTCTGCACTATGTAAGTAGGTCTCTCTTTCTCTATATATAAACACACGCATGCATACATATAAATGTACATACAGACATATATGTATTTGTGTGTTTTTGCACATAAGTATTTTTATAATGAACTCATTTTGCCTATCTTTTGAAAAATATCTCTATAAAGTAGAAGCAAAGCTTTCCTTTTAACTACTTTTGAAAATTCAGTTTTCTTGAAGGATATTCTGAGGAAGAAAAGATTGCTGATTCATGCAAAACTCAAAAAAACTTTATGGAAAAATATTAGTCTCCTCCATCATCCCAGAATGTGATGAAAAAGTAAATTCTAGTGCAGAACAATTCCAGAGCAACAGTTAAAGCTGTAATTTTAAAGGCTATTGAATTTACCACTAGGTTAGAAAGAAGGAAAAAAGCATCAATAGCAGTTCCAAAGTTATAAAAGTGTAATCTCAAAGTATGAGATGGCACAGCAGGGAATGAGGTTCATGCTGTGACAAGAATAATGGTGCTTTTTCATCTCCCTCTTAAAACCAGACAGCACAAACAATCTCTTCTCCCTAGCCATGGCCACTTTTCTTCATTGGTAACTGTGTTAATTTGTTGTTACTAATTGTATTTAAGAGATTATTTCATAATAATAGTAATATTCATAATAATATTTCGTTATTCTTAATGGCTTGTCTCTGTAGGAGCTTATATATAGCTAGACTTGCAAAACAGAGGTAATTTTGTCATATCTGTTCTAAGTCTCAGATTGAGAATTCGGAGGTTTTTTTTTTTTTAAAAAGGCAAACAACAACAAAAAACCAAAACCTCTTTTTGTAATATTTCCTTCAACTGAGCTTAACCAATCTGGTATCTTACTGCCTTCATTTATGTTCCGTAGTTTTTCAAGCGCTTGAGGAGACCTTATGTATTCTGTGCCTCACTAGCCCCCTCTAATATTAATTATAGTAGTACTGTATTGTAAGTCTAAATATTTATATAGCACCTTACATCCCAAAAGAATTTCACATGGATCATAGGGATCACTGCATCCCACACTCTCTCTCTACACAACAGTAAAAGCAGAGAATTACAAGCCTTCCTTCAAGATTAATTTAATCTTACTCATATAAAGCACAGGAAATTTTTAATGCCGTTTTAAGTCCGGCAAGGTTACGAACATGGTACAAACATCACCACTGGATGCTTACCTACTGCAAATGGTTAGGCCACTGAGTCATGAGAACATTTGTTTGCATACGTTTTCCTAAGAGGTCTCTACTTTGGTTATTAATCTCATCCAACTCTTCTTCATTCTGAAATATGTACCCAGTGGGGGATGCAGACTATAGCCCTGTCCAGAGTGCTTACGAATAAAATTTGTCATAACCCTATGGAATATTTTTCTAAGTGCTTTTCCTATTATGATCCAGGACTGCTTTCTTACTGCCTTAATGCAAAATCATCTTTTAAATTTGATATTCCCTTAAAAAATGACTCCTTTCTTCTGGAGGTTTCCCCAAACATTGTTGCGCATTTTATAAATTTGAAATATTCAGTAATAGGATTTCTTCTTTCCTTCCCCGCCCCCCTTCTTTACACACAGGTTTAGAGACTATAACTGTCAAAAAGAAAGCTTCTGAATTTCGAAAAAATACAACCAAAGAGTTCCGGAAAGTCCTCCTAACAAAAGTTTAACTTTTAAGTACACTGAAAATTTATAAAACACCAGAAGCCCAGTTTCTCAGCAGCTTATATTAGGTTGACCAGTTGTGCTAGATTGCATGAGACAGTCCTGAAATTTAGACCCTAGCTGCATTTTCCCATAGAATCACATCCTGGAGATTTTCTGCCTTCAGCTTCAGAAACAATATATAGGACAAGTAATTGTTATAATTTATTCCCATCTGGTAGACAAGACTTTTATATTCTTCCTCTCTTTAATGAGAGTATGAGAGCTTATTCTTGTCATCACAGCAGGAGAATGGAGACACTTTGCACAGGGTAATATGGCCTGTCAGAAAGGCAGGTTTCCTGTCTTTTCATCTGATGACAGACACATACCCTTGCATCCTGCGTTTTCTCTGTTATTTTTTACAGCAGGGTTTAACTACTTCGTTTAAAATGGTAACTTACACTTATATTAATACAGTGGAAATATTTCTCTGTGCTTGAATATGATTCTTCAGTGGAATCTGAAAGGCACAGGGCATAAGTGTTTGTCCCAGAAAACTCCTTTGAAAGTTCAAGGTGTGAACACTCTATAAATATACAGTCATGCTAACATGACAGTTATCAGATGGGCAAGGAAACACTATATCACCATTGTTAACAGTCTTATGTCTTAAGCTGAAATGCTTTGATTACTCCTTAACAATTTCCAATATACAAATGCCTTGATAGGCCCAGTTTTTCTTTCAGTAATACTGCATTTTCCTTCACTGGCAGTTACATACGGTTTTCTTAATCTTACTGCTTTTCCTTCAAACACATGGGACTACAAAAGGCCATGTACCTTTAATGCATGCACCTGGCCTTGCATTTCAGCACAAACATGAAATAAAGTGAAGATTGTCCACAGCAGAGCAATATGTTTATGCAATTCAGAGACTGGAGTAAATTGCATATTTTCTGAGTTGAGTGTACAACTTTAATTTGTTTTCTAGCAAGTATATAGAGTAACTATATTGAGTATATAGCACCTTTACTTTGAATATTCAGAAATTATGTATAATCACAATTCCAGTAACTGGGGATACATTTTGACATTCTCTATTTATTCAAAAATGCACCGATGAATTAGCACAGATTGGTGAAGTCTGACGTTAAACCTTCAGTAGTTTATTTGAAAGGAACATAGTCCAGATTCACCAAAATGGATGTTGAATGCATCTGATGATTAATCTATCCAATTACAGACAAAAATAGTCTAGAGATAATGGGTGGGCATTTTTCTCTATCTGATCTGGTAGTGATCATGTTAACTTAGCAAATTGACAAAAGTAAGATTTCTCAGAATAATTGTGTCAGGTCTAAGACATTCTTACCACATGGCTGATGCTGCAGGCATAAATCAGTATTTTGAGTATGTTTTATCTTCAAGACCATTTCAGAAGTCATAACTCACTGCACTGCATTACTACATCTATTTGAGACAGACTTAGCAACAAATTTCCAGTCAAAATATATTTTCAACAGAAACTACAGCTTCTGGAAATTCTAAATGGAATATTTCTTTAGCATAAATGCGATCAAAATACTTCTGTTTGGTAAATGGGTTTGATATATTTAATATTCAATTCAAGATAACCTGCAGTTTCCTCTGCTGCTTCACTGCCACACTGAATGAGTAATTTGCTGATTCTAGTACCCACTGTCACAGGACCTGACTGATGTCCCAGACCTGAGGGGTGGGAGAGCTGTCACCCAGCTTCCCCCCTACTCATTTTAGAAGAGAAAGCATCCGGTAAAGTTCTGTGTAACTCTCACCACAGCTCCACAATAAGAGTCCTGAACATAAATATAAAACACAGTAACATAATAGGCAAGCTATAATCTGTCAAATAATTGGAGAATGAGCAAGTTATTTTTGACCTGATTTGTGTCTAATACAAGAACTTGTCTAATACAGCCAAGAGGAGAAACCCATAGTGCCTCTCCATGTTTCAAATGGCTACACTATTTCTAATCATGGCAGTCAGATCACTGAAGAATATTTCACCTGGTGTTCTCAAAGTACCTCTGAGAATTCAAAAGCTTCAAAACAATTCTGAAGTAGGTAGGGTATTATTTTCATATACCCATTTTACAGATGCATAAAAAGTCATGAAGGACATAGATAGCTCACTCAAGGTCAAAGTCTACAATAGGACTGGAAATAGTCCTATGAGTCCCAGCTCCATGGCTCCTGATGTAAAAACACTTGACAACACAATGTGAATCTCTTACACATATGAGATTAAGATGTCTATTGTAGGACACTAATCTCTTCGCTGTGAGCTATATTCTCTGTCAACACGATATTTTACATAAAATCCATCCAAGAAGTCCACCATGTACATTAGAGAGTATAGAACATATGGAGGATTTAACTCTGAGATATACTTTTCATTTGCATTGTGCCATCCATGATTTATTCATTTTCATTTACATATATTTAGGTCAGCATGTATAATTTGGTTCAAGTACAAGATCTGAAATAACAGATGATGAAATAATTTTCCTGTATATTTTTTCTTGCTCCTATTTTCAAAAGTATTAGCTATAATATAAAAACATTCTAAACAAAAAATAAGGGGAGGTGATTTGGCAAAATCCTATACAAGTTCAAAAATATGGAGATTTCTCATTCCTTCAATATCAGGAAGTCAATATTCACTTTCATAGATCTTTGCCATCTGGCTAATGGTAGTGGAATGCAGATATTCCATCCAAGCAGTGACTCTCTCAAAATCTCTAGTTTAAAATTCAAATAGATTTATTAATGCAACATGGTCAACTAAAAGAACACAGTTCTGTCTGAAATTTTTTCTGCTGGAAATATTTAGTTGCTATAACTGAAATATATTTAGGGGAGGAAAAAAATCTCATTTTGTTCGATATGTGACAGTGTCTTTACATAACTAAATACATTCCTTCCCTATGACATCTAAATAGGCCTTGATCTTCAGAAAATGAGAATTAATTTCTCCTTTCAGTAGTCAATGATTCGGTTACTGAAAAGCCTCTAGAAATTTCAAAAAAGGAATAGAGAAGGCATACAAAGTATGCCCTCAGTTTTGATTTCAGGAAGTGGCATGCTCATAGGTATACTATAAATTCTGTCTAGAAAGTAGCTTAGTTAGAGAGGTAAGGTGTTTCTAAGGATTTTAATGATACATTAGTGCAACTAGAAGTAGACGTATGTAGACAGCTCAGATCTAGGTGAGGGGATTATTTGCTTACTTTTACTCAGCAATTTTCATATGGCTTATGTTTTGATCATCAGCTGTACTGATTGTATTATTCTCTCATCAGAAGCAAATTCTGCTCCCATTGAAAGTAACATAGACTGAATCAAACACTAAATTCAGAAGAAAAAAAATTATTTAGCATGCAATAAATTCCTTCATGACCTTAGAAAATCTTTATGACAGTTTCTACACTGACAAGAAGTTTAATTAAGTTTAAGTTTTGTGCTTATCCCTTCTTATATCTATTTTAATACTGTCACAGGTGTACATGAATGACATTAAAGAATAATTTCTGTTTCCTTTTCATGCCACCACCAGCACCAGAGAGCATTTAGCTGTGATCTGAATTTTAATTGCTAGCCATCCAAGTTGAATAATAATTCATACAATACTGAAAGCATGTGAAGAAGACTTGGCAGTTTTAAGTATAAGCCAATATAGAGGACTGGATATAATGCTTCTGTTGCTTTCTCTTCTCACTTCTCCTCCCCTAAATTCCACTAAAAGACAGAAAAATATAGCTATGTCTATAGCACTGTTCCATCACAGCAAGTACTAGTGTGCAGACATACTTTCTTGTAAGGAATGTCAAAAACAAAGCACTATTTTGCGATTACAAAAGCCAGACAAGGACTAGGGCAAAAAGAATGAAAAGTTGTAAAAAAAAAAAAAAAAAAAAAAAAAAAAGGAAAGGAAAAAGCAACCACTCCCCTTTGCCTAGATTGCAAGGAGGCAGCAGCTGTTAGCAGTTCCTGGAGGAGACACTAATCAAATCTACATCGCACACTGAAGTGCAGTGCGAAGTCCCAGAGCCACTGCCAAATAACCAGTCTGCAAGCCAGTACAGCCTATCTACATGATCAGCCCTCCTGCATTGCAGCATCCTAGGCATGATATTTCCTGAACACAAAATTATCTCTCTGTACAATGCTTGATGTCTCTATACCAGTTTATGCAGAAGGTGCAAGAGACACAAACTAGACTGTGCTACATGGCTTACTCATACAACTAGTGCAGCAAGATAATGGAAGTGGGATTCACAGAGCTATTGCATCCTCTCCATGTGTAGCTGCAGGACAAAGTATGAACTGGATGCAAAATTAACTCTGCTCATGCAATCTGAGAGAGAGCATAGATGGGGCAAATCATACACAGCTGCTCTCCAAGTTCAAGTGGAACAGGATCTGGAGGCAAATTTTGATTGTCCCTACCTTCACCATTTTCCTAGACAAGGAAAGGAAGTGATAATTCTGTTCAATGGAAAGTAGTTTTGTAAAACAATTTGTATCTTCATTTTTTCTACAGATCATGTTGTGTGTGAAGAGGAATTCAAATATGCTATGCTAGCTCTAAATTGTATATGCCCAGCTACCTCTACATTAATCACACTGCTGGTTCATACATCTAGGGGACAGTAAGTATATACTACCATAAAAAAAACCAAACTTGTAAAAGTTATAACTGATATTCTTTGGAAAATAGCTTACCCTGAACTCCCAGACAACTACAGTTTTAAAAAGAAATTAGAACTTTCTGCACAATAAAAGCATCAAGATGTTTTACTCAAGATATTATAATTTCAGAGAAACACACACCGGTGTTTAACTATTTGTTGCATGCTGTTGCGCCACTTCTACAATAGAAGATATGAAAAATTTGTATTTCCAATTTAGTAGATTGAATCGTGGGTCTATCACACAGTTCACCAACAAGACCCAACAATACCTATTTTAATATGTTAATTTGAACGTCCATTTTTGTACACATATGAAAATTCTTATTCATTGAGCTCAAAAAAATGTTTTTCTGATAACATATAAAATATTTGCTATTCCGTGCCTGTACGTTAAGAAGCAAGCAAACATACATGTGAAGAGATGGTTTTTAACGTAATAACAGCACTGCCGGAAGGGGTACAGAATTAGTGTCTCTACAGACTGCATAGTCACAGTAGAACCTCTCTATATTTACCAAAATAATTTTACCACATCTAGTATATCTCTGTTATGCTATATTCTTGGAATAATAAGGTATTCTTATTAAAACGTTGTGGGCAGAGAGAGGCATTAGAGAGTAAATCTCCAAATATATCTGTAGAAATGGAATATGTGCATATAGACTGCACAGGAATACATTTGAGAGTCTAGTAAAAACGCATACTTTTTTTCAGGTAACCATGGACCCAGTAATATCTTGATATTTACAAGCAGAGTTATTTAACCTTCTATATGGCATTTCTAGTAATCCCCTGTGCCCAGGATGGGGAAAACTGAAATTATTGCTAGAACTTTTACTACCAAGAACAACAAGTGTCAAGATTTTAACGGCACTATCTGTACTAGAACCTGTTAAAAAGACAACAAAATACTGTTTCCATGCCTCCTGAGAATTATGATGAAATACATTCTTCATCTGCCTAGCTTTCATTATCTGACATGCACAGAATACAGAGTCTTTTTTAGCTATTTCATATTATATGTACATGAAAGAAGAGTAGTATTCTTAACAGCTAGTAGAGAATTTTCCATTAGCACAAAAACAGACATATGAAAGGGACTCTTTTCGGCTGTACTTAAGAACTTTAGCATTTCAATTTTAACACAGGCATATTGATCATTTATACAGATTCCCAGCTATGATGCAAAGTAACTATAGAAGAATGCAAAAGCCCTTATTATTTCTTTTGCAATCAGAATTAATTGATGTGATCAGGGTTGTTAAAGTAACTGATTTCTAGTCTAGTCATTGTATACTAGGAGAAAAAAAAAAAATCTTTTTGCACAGAGAGTTGTCAGCATTAATTTGAATTCTTCTTTCAGAAACATACAAGCTTGCTGTATAAATACAGAAAGACTGGAAAAGTGAAAATGTCTAGTTGTCATTCTTCTACTTTAGTCAGCACTGAGCGTTTAGTCTCAGATGGGCTCCAAAATACTGAAAAAAATGGCAAACTTTGGACATCTTAGAGCATGTGTATTAATGCTGGACTAATTGAATAGATATGACTGTTCTTTAAAACCACATGATATCTGTGAAAGTTTAAAACAGACACATTAGAGGGAAAAATCTTCAAAAATATTTCAAGTTTAAGTAATCTTGACTTAACAGTGCTAAAAATAAAAAAAACCTCAAAAAATCAAGTATTTCTCTCCCAAAATACTACTTTCTAAGCTTTCAAATTTAGTATTTTTACTACTTCCCTTCATTTCATTTTTGCTAAAAACATACATAATTCCCATACATAAAAAGGTACATAATTCCCAAACTGGTGGGGTTTTTCTTCCCCTTTTATTCCTTACAACTTTTTAAAATCCCTTGGAAATGCTGAAATAAGTTCTCAAAAGTCTAATTTAACTGTGATTTTAATATTTCATTAAGTTTTGTACAAGTGCACAAATCTGTTCAATGTATGATAAAAGTCACCAAGTCAAGCATTCAGAATTAGGAAATGAGGACAAAGCTATCTTTTTGCTACGTTGCTCTGATCCTATTAAAAAATCCTACTGTGCTGTTGAAAACATTAAGTAATGATATACTTGAGCTTACTTTTTGCTTATAACTGAGCGTTACATAGGCCATATTTAATCTGGAAGTTTTGTGTCCTTGAACATTTAGTTAAGATGATCTTTAACAACTGGAGATTTAACCATTGATTTTTAACAGGTATGCGCTTCTTGAATATAATATTCTAAATTCAAAGGACAGTAGTCACACATAATTGAAAAAATCGTATAAAATATTTAACTATGTGAAAATAATTTCTCTTTCCTGAATTACCACTTCAGTGTCCCAATTTTATCAATATTATACTTATTTTACTTTTTATTCATAATTTTTATGTGCAATACCATAATTGATAAGCACTTGCTAACTAAAATAAACTCATAGCTAAATAGAGATATAAATCTGCTCTTTAGAAGTATTATACTTAAGTCAAGAAATTTATTTTCAAACTTTCTTATTGAGTATACACTAATGTTTTTAAAAGGAATTTTTCCCCTAACTTACGTTCTTCATAAGCATCTCCTGAGATTTACACCAACTCTAGAGTACCTGAATAGTGTTGGTAAAACAAATAATTCTGCACTTCGTTGTCTTCTGGGGGAAATCTGTTTTCAAAATAGGTGTCGGTTTTGAGCTTCATCTACAGGTTGCCATTGTATTGCAGACGTAAAACTGATTTGACTAATTTATAAATCAGAATAATTGTTCTGGCTTTTCTAGGTACTTTCTAATGTTGAACAATAGGTAAATTAACTGCTAATTGTTAAAATAGGTTAAATTACCTTTATGCATATGAAAGATGAAGTCACATGAACATTTGAGTTTGGCTAAATCTAAGTAAAAAGATTAAGTGAAAATTGATAATTTAAACTACAAATAAAAATTTTAACTATACATGCATTTATTTCCAAACTAAATACTAAATTAGATCTAAATAATGAAGAGTATTTGTTAAATAGACTTCCAATGTTAACAGTGAACTGCTTTCCTTTACATTGGTTCCTGTTTCATTATCCTGGTTACTACCAGCACCTGCATTAAACTTTATGTAGGACTTGAGTTTTAAATCCCTGTCAGCATTGACTTCCTTACATAAAAAGAACAGACATGGATTATGGGGAGACTATAACGAATCAACTGCTTCCAGCCTTGGGTAGTCTTTTTAAAGTCTATTCAAAGTCATTGGGAGGATTTTCTAAAGAATTAGTTCAGGTTTCCATTCACAGAAGCCCTGTATCTGTTGACACACAAGTTTAGTAACTTCAGTATAGTGACTAGGAATGTTTGTTCAAGTGGTTATGACAGACAACCAAGTTCAAATGACTGTCTATACCTTTCCATTCCACAAGGAATAGGTCTTCTTTTTACACAGTATTTTAGGTGCCTGTAACCAGAGCAGATTATCAAGGAACTGACCAGAACAATTCTTCCTTTTTATCATTTCCCTGGTGAAAAGTCATTTGTTAAGGGAAAATATGACCGCTTTCAAATTCTAGCTTCTTAACATTTGTTAATTTAGTGAAGTTATGATCTTAACCTAAGTGATGTACATTTTAATGGAATTAAACAGTTCATTGACAGTTCATAGATAAAACATGTCCCAGCTGCTTGTTGTACTCTTACAAATGAAGGGAATCTATTTCCTATATTTATTAAGAAATGGTGTGACACTTAATAATACAAGCTCATTTCTGATAATTGTGAAGATATGTACACTAAGGAATTACTGGAAGTTGAAGGCAATACATAGCAGCAGAACACAGGAAAAATTATCATTCTAATGATATTTAGAATGGTAAATACCATCATTCTAATGGTATTATCCTAATTAGAATGATAATACAATAAAGAGTAAACAAAAAGAAACACATGTACATAAATTAAAAACACCTTATCTTCTGGTATTAATATGTGAGGAAACTGGGGAAAATGTTCACTTTCTAAGCAACTTTGGCCAGATCAACTTGCTATTAAAATTAAGGGGAAGTTTGCTGCTCTTTATGTGAGCTGGCTTTGGTCTTTAATGCTACTTTTCAGATTAAACAAACTAGATTTAAATAATCCCATTGTCTTCTCAGCTGTTTATGGAATTCAAAACCTCAGTCTGCAAGATTTCAAAATTCTACCTTGAATCTTATTTATAATCTTATTATTGAGCTTAATTATTAATCTTAATGTTTATCTTTAAATGTTATCTAATCTAGTAATTAGAACTTTATTAGGGTTTGTATTATGATACAAAATATTGGAAGAAAATAGCCTTTCTGACTTGAACTTAATGTGATCTTTACAGAACAGCCCCATGGGAAGTTTTTAGACAACTAACTGGAACCAAGCAGACTTTAAACAGGTGAACATTTTATTTTACGGGAAAAGTGAAATATGGAAAAATTTTCTTCTCTAATTACATTTCTAATTCTGCTATTCTACACCTAGTGCACTGTTTGTTAATACTATTGCAATTGAAAATGGTTTACTTATTTCCATCTTGAAACAAAAATGTTTCTACGCTGAGGGTGGAGAAGAATGGTAAATTGAAGAAAAAGAGAAATTGTGTTAAGGTATTGAAAAAAGTATAAATGAGCACAAAGGAGCATATCCCAATATCTTGAGATCTTAGCTCCAAGTGGCAAAACACAGAGCACATTTGTCAGTTTTATGTCCTATCTGCATATATATAGGTATATATACACATATCCATTACATCCAGTAAAACTCATGCAGACAACCTTGTTTCCACATCAGACTTAATAAAGTGAGAAGTTCACAGAAGCCCTAAGTCTGCAAGCTTTGGTGTTAGCTGAGGTTTGGAACATTTCCACTAACAGTCCATTTGGATAAAGAATGTTAGCTGCATATAGTAAAGGATGATATGCTTAATATGGTTAAAGTAATAATTTATTTTCTTGCACTTGAGAAAAGAAGGTATATACTTGTCATAGCATACAAGACACAGTAACTAAAAATGTCCATAGGGTAAATGCTGAAGATAACTGATAAGCAAAAAAAAAAATCCTCCTTACAGATAAAGTGACTGAAGCCAAATGGGTCTTTCCTACATAAGTTATTTTTAATGATTCTTTACCTACTTCAAACAGGAACCAGACAATCTGCCATGGAGCATCCGAAGAGACTGTCTTTGTGACTAGAATGAGCATGCTGTTGGTTTCACCTGTCATCTGTAAATTGCAATGAATCTACTTATTGTGGTGTAAATTTATGCAGCCATATCTCTCCTGATATTAAAGTCCATAATCTTATATGCCTATTACTTAGCAGAAAATGAGCTTTAATTCATTAAAATAGTCTCTGTACTTACAGAATTACCAAGCTTTGATCTCAAATATTTCCTTCAGATTAGCCTATGGGTCCTTTTTAATAGACATTTGTAGCTTCTATTGCCATGAAATACTGTTCTGATTAGTAAGAATTTTACATTAAGTTTTAAATTATTCTCTTTATCTGTACATGTTTCAGGGAGAGTCAGCAATCACCGGAACAATGGCAGAAAATGTATGGCAGATGCTCTGGTAATGAAGTATATCATATTAACCTGGAAGAAAGTACTTTTTTTGCTGAGTATGAGGGGAAAAGCTTCACATATGCTTCTTTCCATGCACATAAGAAGTATGTTTATGTTCCTATCAACAATTAAAAGTTCAAACAAATAATTATTTGTTTTGCCTGCAACGTAGCTCTGCATTCAAAGGTGCAGTATTACACATTATTCTGTTTCTAGGTTTAAATATCTGGCCACTAATATATTTCATGGATATTCTTCTGTAAGTTACAGCTGGTCAGGTAAAAGTTCATGTTGGTTCTGTATAGGCCAGCTCAGTTCAAGAGAATAGAATATAAAGGATATATAGGATAAGCCTGACAACCAGAAAAAAATTGTACCTTAGAGAGATTATATGGGAACACCAGTCCCTTTTCATGTCCAAAACAATCTAGAAATGGGTGGGCAGGAGGGTGTTAGGGTATTTATTTATTTTTTTATTTATTTAGGAGTCAGCTGGAAATCTGGCTTCTTTTGTGGTGTGCTCATTCTATGCAAAATGTTCAATTTAAAGGTGGTACATGCTACATTCTGGTGATTGTTCAAAATAAAACCATATTTTTTCTGTTTGATGCTAACATATCTTCTTTAGGTTCCAGATCACGTATCACTTATTCAGTGCTGCTCCGAGGTGAACATACAAACTGAATAAAAAACATGTATACTCGAATATATTTAACAAAATGAACATATATCAAACCCTGTACACTGAGTTCATTCTCATACTTAATAAGAGAGAGAAAGATTTTTTTTTTGCTTTAATTCCTTATTTTCTATCACTAATGAAACATTTCTAGGAGTGAATTGCAAAAATCAATTCTGAAAATGGTTTCCATTACATATGAATAATGGAACAATTTAACATCATGAATACTTTTTAATATTATATATCCATTCTTCTACTAATATTTTCCCAGAAGGGACTATTAATCTGATAGAAAAAAAAATCAACTGGAACAGCATTAGAATGGGGATTAAGAAAACTGCTGGATTCAAATGCCTAGGGATTCATGAGCGCATAAAAAGTGCTTGATCAGAAGTGGCCTATTTAGGAGATAACATTCTTCAAACATATTTGTCATCTAAAAATCTGCAAGTGTTCATAATCTGCAAAATATAAGATTATACTGGAGGTTCATTTTTGACAGTAGAAGTTCTGGTATATACGAGACTATGCAAAATGAACCATGCCTTTCCTTTTCTAATTAAGGTTTGGAGTCTGTCTGATTGGTGTTAGAAAGGAAGATAACAAAAACATTTTGCTGAATCCAGGCCCTCGATATATCATGAGTTCTACAGATATATGCTTTTATATAAATATCACCAAAGAAGAGAATTCTGCTTTTAAGAAGCAAGAAAAGCATAGAAAAAAACATGAATCAAAATTATCTTACCATGGAGCTTCTAGGTTACCCGTACACAGTATATTAGCCAGCATGGGTAAGTAAAAAAAAAAAACAAACAAAAACCCACCACACAAACCTCAACCTATTCTTATTCAATGAATAGTGCATTTTAAAGCTTTTAGTATATTCCTAAAATTATAATTTAAATTAGTATATAAGAAATTATAATAGTGTGCAGAAAGAAAAAATATTAGACACTTGCCCTCGTATTTTCTAAAAAAAAAAACCACACACCACAGAATTTGGTTATGTTTTTCTTTTACTTGACAATATGGAATTAAACCGCTTAAGACTGTTGTATAAAAAAGTAATAATAAAATGTATGCAAAGCAAAACAACTGGGAAAACCACATGGGTAATTTCTTTGTCATTTATAACTGGTTGTTTGTAATAAGTTTTCATAAGCTTCTTTAAAAAAATGCCTTTCCTCAATAAAAACCTACAGGTTGTTTATGCATATAAACATGGATTAGTTACATAAGGTATGATTTTAAAAGTGTAGTTAACAAGAAAATATATATTAATGGTCAGAGAAAGTGTTACTTTGCAGGAAAAGGCCTGCTCAGGTATAGTTTAAATATTTGTTATATTTTAATGTAATAATCACAATCAATATAGTGTTCCTTTCAGTCTTTGGCCTTGTAGTCAGGTAATCCCCCCTTAATATGGGAATCTCATTCAAGTGTTTTGACAACCACATTGAGAAAATGCTTTCAACGCTACTTCAGGGACAGTGGCTATCGATTTACAAGATACAGGATGCCGAACATCCAGCGGGCCTACACTAGCTCTTCCTTCCGAGGGAGGTAAAGAGGGCAGACGGCCCAGTATAGCACCTGTTTTGGAGGTTGCAGATTCGTCCTCACTTCAGACGTGTGACCTGCTAAGTGACCAGTCAGAAGATGAAACTACCCCATCAGATGATGAAGTCTCTGCAGGATTAGAGTATGTATATTAAATATAAAATAAGCAACATAATTTGAAAAGCTAATATTATGTAAATGGCGTGGGTAATTTTTTTGACATGCAGATCAGTCCAAGTACTTGTAGCAAGCAAGACCCACAAAGGTCAATTATGGAATTATTCCCTTTTATGAAATTCTATTGTCTGTTAGCAGAATGCTGTTATGCCTATTTTGAAGTTAAAAAAACAGATTAACTCCTCCATTTGCTGGAGATTTTCTATACTCACTTATAAAGATCTAGTTGTGTATTGCAATTTTTTAAATAGCATCTTTTATGACCATTTTTCTTACATTCTATAGTTATAAAGACAGGACTCGGCTAATTTGTAAGCCGATAAGTACTTCTGTCCTGATGATGCAGTGATAATCAGATCATTCAACAAGCTTGTTGAACGCTGGGGCTAGGTGTCTGACTTCAAAATGTAGGAATGACAAAAAAAAAGCAGTACGAGACAAAGGTATTACATCTAATTTAAAATGCTTGTTAGCATGTTACTGAAAGTAATGATGCATTACTCATAAAAACAGAGGATTCAATCCTGTAACTGCCATGCAGATAAGCAATTATGTTTATCAGGATTACTGACAGGGATGTTAAAACCGAAATACACAATTAAGCCTGTGGCTCACCTAGCACAGTTTCCCATCTCCAACAGTGGCAAGCATGAGAAGCCCCAGGGAAGATCATAAAATGCCAATGAAAAAAAAAATGATAGAACAAGTCATCTTAAATCTGCAGACTGAAATACCAGGATTTAAAAGGCCTCTTATTAAAAATTAAGGCCAATTAGAAATTTCATATCATCAGCAAGAGGATTTGCCATTTAAAGTTTATTTCAACCATGTTGAGAGTATGTTATTAAAGCAAGAAGGTAAGGACCTCCAAAGATGCCTATACAAAAAAAACCCAAGCAAAATTCCTTTAGTCCACAAAAGCATGATAGCTTTCACTAAATGGTATTGAATTGGTCAAAGCTACAAAATATATTCCTTTGATCCTTGTTAAACATAGTGCATTTCATGTACTTGACTCTGCTAATCTACAGATAACTGCAAAGCTTAGACACAGATATAAACATCCCATAAAATAGTTGTATAGTCAACTGTGTTTCAGTAATTTGCTATACTGAAAAACGTTTGTTCTGTTCTCCTAGGTATGCCAAAGGCTATCCTCCTTACTCTCCATATATCGGAAGCTCTCCCACATTTTGTCATCTTCTGCGTGAAAAAGTACCCTTCTGTTGTCTAAGACTAGACAAGGTAAAGGGAGTTTCTGTTACTGGATAAAGCTACATTCTCATTTGTCTCTTGCATCTGAACAGAGTTAAATTCTGGTTTCTGCTTAGAGATGAGGTTTGTTCAGCACTTACTAAGCTATAATATGTTTTCTCATCCTTTTCATCACCAATCATTTGTTTATGTCTAATCAGGTCTATATCAGGTCATCTGATATAATTTTCTATTTCTAATGGTAAAACCCTTTAATGTCACAGCTAAGTCTCTTTATTCATATTCACTGAACTTGTTTCTTATTTTAATTTTAGGGATGCCAACATAACTACTATGAAGACGCCAAAGCCTATGGATTCAAAAATAAATTGATTATAGTTGCAGCAGAAACTGCTGGAAATGGCTTATATAACTTTATTGTTCCACTAAGAGCTTATTACCGACCAAAGAAAGAACTAAATCCCATTGTATTACTCCTGGATAACCCGGGGGGGGGGGGGGGGGGGGGGGGGGGGTACATTTTAAACTCATTTTACCATTACTTCAATAGATGATCACTTTTCACATGGCCAACTTAAAATCAAAAACATTATGGCACATTTATCTTTGAGAAAAGTTGGTGGCAAAAATACCGTATGTTCACTGTCATATACAAAATTGACATTTTACTGACTGTAAATGGCCATAGTGAATTTAAATGTCCTTCTTCTTCATGGCCAATGTTTCAGCTAAGTATTTCTTAAAAATACCCAAAATAACGTGAATATTACTGCTAAAATTAACTTCATTAAACACTGTAAAAAGCAAACTGTATAACAGTTTCACCACTACATGACAGCACTTCAGACAACACTAACCTACTTAACACAAGGCACTTAGTGGCCTGGACAAGTTAGGTATATTTTTAATAATTTTAGACTCTTAAGATAAACAGTTCTTTAAGCCAGTAGGGGACACACACACTTTGTCTACAATTATATAAAGTCACGGAAGAAAATTAAAACCTGCAATATTGTTGTTACTACCATATCTATCTGGAGATCGCTGGAATTCTTAGCCTTTCTTGCATTAGCTGTTTAAAATTTCAGACAAATTCTTCTCTGGCAAGACTGGTTCATTTATACTCTGACGATGACTGAAAAAGACTTTTTTTTTTTCTTTTTGCAACACTTTGGTACTGCTCAAGTGCTTAAAATCACAGTTTGGAAGGCACAAAAATGGAGGTTAACCATATACAAAAAATTAGATCAAACTATGACTCAAAGAAAGAAACGACAACAGCAGAAATTTCTTATAGGTTCTGATTCCAGGCTGACACTTCTCTTTGCATATATAAATGTTCTAGTTTAAGTGATTCATTATACAAAGTCCTGCTGAGAAGTGTCCCACTTTTGCCTCAGACAGCTCTTTAGTGAAGCTGTATACACCTGTGTTTCCAAAACAGAAGCTTTTTTATGTACATATTGTGGCATAAAGTGAATTACACAAATTGGTAAAAGCCTAAATTAGGCTAAAGGACTTTCTGATTTGAGACTTCCTTAAGATGAAAGATGTGAGCATGCAGTGCCCTCTAGTGCTTGTTCTCTTTTCCAGCACAGTCCCTGAGTTTACATACTTTAATGCTGTTGTGACATTTACGGCTAAAACCACTTTTTATTAGCATAAAATGAAAGCTATGATTGCTAGTTAAACTAATACCCTTAGTGTTGTCTCTCTCTACACAGCATTTGCAGTGACTCCTTTGAAAGGCCAACATTCACGGGACTACAGAAGCTAGCTGAAAAGCCAGCATGCTTTTCAAACACGCATGAGATGGAATTCAGGCTGCCATTCAAGTCAATTGGAATTTTGTAATTTACTTCACTGGACTTAGGAATTCAGCCACCTTCGATGAACATATCTATGCCTTGTTGTTATATTCCTATTTTCTCTGTTTATCAGGTCAATTTATTACAGTATGCTTATTCTGATATCTACATGTGTTTTAATATTTCCAATGTTTCTTGGTATGTAAGAAGAAACACAGTAAAATTTATTATTAAAGAAACAACGCAATAAAATACAGTATCTCAGTTTTCACATTCCATTTTAAAAATAAGGTTTCATCTAAGATTGTCTCATTGACTTGAATGGAGCTGTTGGCACAAAAACCAAGTGATGACTGGGTTTCCACTTCACATTTTAATTGAAAATTCTCACTGCTCATTTTAAGTACTCCTAAGTCATGCACTGGAGTATAACTTGGTAGTGTGTCTTTGACCTCAGTCATTCATTCTTATATTTGGAATTGTAGTGTGCCATAAAATTTCTGATTTAAGAGGTGCATTTATTAATAAAGCATGTTAATTCTGATCACTCTTTATGATCACAGCAAACTTGATTCACAGCTTTCTGCAAACCTATTTCCTGTTTAAAGTGGTATTATACCGCCAAAGTTTTAAAAAGTTTTTTTTTTTTTTTAAAGCTACCAGTTTATTGAAATATTTTAGAAGAGATGCTGCTGTTGTGATACTGTGTTTCATTTTGTAATCCCATCTGCTGCTTAGGCCAGATATGCATTTTCTGGATGCAATCTGTTGGTTTCCAATGGTTTACTACATGGTGGGCTCTATCGACAAGTAGGTGAAATAACTGTTAGAAAACTTAACATTGTAGTGCTCAGTGGCTTGTTGTGTGTATCGTCATTGCATGTTTAAGTGTGTGTTGTATTTGAAGATGATATTTTTGCATGCATGGTTTGTGTCTGTGTGCTATAATTTGGGATTTCAAGTTTCTGACTTATAAAGGATATCATTAGTGAAAAGTATGACAGGGAACACAGGTTAATATCTTCAAAAACATAAGATTAACACTTATTTAGGTGCATTAATATGTTCCTTCAAATCACCAGATTATAGCCCCGATTCTAGTGTCATTCTATATTTCATTATAATTTGTTTGGATTTACTGACTAGGGTTTTGTAAAGATAGCTACAGAATGTAGACAGTACTAATACTGACAGCCTTGAATGCGTCCAACAGTCTTCATCTTCTGCTAAAAATATCACTTACTCCTACATTTCTGTCTTCACCTCTACTAATATATATTTGCATATCTAGGTTTAGCAACATAGATTTAATGTAAAAATCAGGCAGGAACAAGAGAAGAGCAAGGGCCAATAGCATTTTGGTAAACTCCTGTATGTAGAGTGTCAATTTAAAGAAGAAAATTATTTGCTTCCACTACATAGTTAATTTTGAGTTGGGACTACAAGCCCATAATACCCATTCCCCAGGTAGAAATCAAAAAAACGTATTTTCTGCCCTGAAATAACAGAATCCAGTTTTTCAATGTGAATTCTGGAGAGTCAATGTTTCTCCATCTCAACCTGTTTTAACAAGGGCTTTAAAACTACTTATAATAGTGATGTAGTTAAAGACTTACCTTGGTGACATCATAGCCATTGTGAGATTTGCGAAGTATCTACAGAAGTGTTTTTCACTTTCTACATTTCTTCCTCTAAACCAAAAAAGTGTCTCAGGTTATTAATATCTACTACTTTCTTAACTCTTAATTCCACAACAACTATAAAAATAATTCATACCAGCAGAATAATTGAATTGACTCAAAGTATCCAAAGTAATTAATAACCCAAAGATGTTAACCTGTTTTTTATTAACACAGATAATTAAACTTTTATTTAAATCTACTCAGTTTATTTCAAAAAGGAAATCACCAAATCCCTCCCTGCAGGTGTTCTGTTGTTTTTAGAACTGAGTGCATTAAAAAAAAAAAAAATGAAAGTGTGTAGTCTTTGAAATAAGTGATTATACAGAATTCTATAGTTTACAGTAATACTAGCATGAACTTCTGCATCTTTTCTGACAAAACAGTCACTTCAATTCCTGGTGCAATAACCAATCATATTTTGTAGGGGTTTTTTTGACATCTGTTTTCATCAATAATGACTTCTAAAAATATAGTTCATACTTATTCCCTGTGTTTTCCTAAACATGTTTTTAAATCATGTACAATTAACAGAAGTTGATCATCTTTAGCTAAGAACTACAATGTAAAATATGCAAAGTTTCCTTTCTTATTTAATAGGTATAGAATACATTCCCAAAGTGCCACCTACTACCTTTTAAGTATCTAATATATTTGTCATTTGGTCACCTGGCATGAAGTGTCATTATCTTAGATAGAAAACCAAAGGAATTACTCTCATTTACCACTCCTTTTTGTTAGAAGTGGATGGCCTGCAAAAAATAGCTTTACCAAAATTCATGGCGGGGATGAACTTCATCAAAATATGTCATCAAGTAGTAGAAACCTGTTCTACAGTCTTCAGGTATAAGTGATGTGAGACCTGTAACTGAAGAGATTTCACAGCTGTGTAGAAATCTGTTCGGTATTAAGAAACCTATAGCTAAAGGTACCTGAGAACTAGTTACAATACTTCTAAATTAGTATTTTTTTAAATTCTCCACAAATTATTTGAATGTAACTGCTAAAATAAGAATAGCTGTTGAGCTTATGAAACGTTGAAATGCAGAAAAACTGGGTATTTCAGAATATGCTGCTATTTTCAGGGATCAACTGAAAGACTGAAAAAGCAGAAATACAAATCACTCAGAGGAAGGTCGAAGTTCTACTTGTGCACTGAAGTTGTTAATGTAGATCATATAAAATACAGCCTTTCTTTTTTTTGTAGTCAGCCACCGGTGATACTACACAGTTTCAAAAATAATTATATTATGTATTTGTTTTGGAAGAATATGTATAAGATGTAAAATAAATACAACAGATTTGTAGAGTTTTTCTTATCCAAAATTTCAAAAAGAATTTATAATAGGTTACATAAACTTAGGAACCTAAAATGATCATTGCTGAAAAGAAAAACTGTATCCAGACAATTAAGACTTAATTAATATTATAGATTATCAAATGATAAGCAATTGTAATGCCAAAACAGCTTTTCACCTTGGAAGTAAACAGAATGATGCAAAAGTTTAGTTTTCCAATTTCCCTTGGAAACCATGAAATTCACCCTTTCTTCTTATTTTCACTTACTTAAAAATTGCTAGGTTCCTAGCAGCCTTTATCATTACAGAAAAGTCCTTTCTAAACTTTTTGAAAAGTGCTTAGTTTCTATGGAAAATGTTATTGTTGAAACAACCAACATGCTTCATTTTGGAAACAAAGCTGTAAGGCATGATGGGAACTGTAACTCAGTTGTCTGAGTGTTTTCTATGGTCAGGCTTCACAGGAAACATTGTCCAGCAGAGTGCAGTTTTACTGATGTACAGCTGCTCCTAAAAGCATAGTGAGAACACTCCAACTCATAGATTAGCCTGAAAGAGGAATGTATTAGATGTCCTGGCAGAACCTTTATTATCATTCTGAAACTGAAATGTAATTGTGGGAAAGAGCAACTCAAAGCATTTATTTCGGTCCATTTATTGCCAAAAGTAACTGCAAGGAAGCAAGTTGTTGCAGCATATAAGGACATACTGTCTTCCCAAGTAACTGTTAAAGGCTTATTTTAAAAAGTTGAAATAAATTTATCATTGTAGCAAAAGGAGAGGGACTATAACAACCTACTGAAGTGCATTCTGTATGACCTCAAGGAAAATAATTATTCATATTCTATTCTATCAATTAATTGAGATTATATACGTGATATAGATTATATTGGAAGTTACGATATGTACATGGAGATGAAGGGAACCAGCAACTCAGCCTGCGATCTGTGAATTCCAACCATCCCTAATCTTTTAAGTGTTCCACATTTAAGTTGCTTGTTTCTTTCTCCTTCTTTCTCTTCACAAAAGCCTAGATGACTTATTAAGATGTGGGGTCACCTTTGCAGCTAATATGGTGGTGGTGGACAAAGAAAGTACAATGAGTGCCGAGGAAGACTACATGGCAGATGCTAAGACTATTGTAAATGTTCAAACACTCTTTAGGTAAGACATCTATCAATACATCTTCATTAATCATTAAATACTTAATGCCTTTTGTACTCAGATGAGAAATGATTTTTTTTTTTTTCTTTCTTCTACTTAAGTTTTCCCTTATATGAACTTGTGTCTTACATGGGCAAACCTTTTCCCACCCTACTTAGCAATACATTCAGAGTACTGAGGTATTCTCCTGAAATCTCAGATGAAATTCTATGCATCCCAAAACTGGATGATCATTTTAAAAGTCAACTGTCAGGTTTTCAGGAAGGAAAAGAAGCTACTCTTGAAGACTTAAGACCAAAGATAGTGTAGAAAAGAAATTTTTCCTCAGTGCAGCAGTCTTTCACAGTAATGCTAAAGCCAGTATGAAAAACAGAACCTTATAAAAGGTAAGCAATGCATCACTATGGTGTTAGTAGTAAGTGTTCGTATTTTGAATAGTTTTGAACAAAAATTAGGTTTTTAGGCACACGTATGCAACATTACAGATGACAACAACATACTAAGAGTCATGAAGGAATAACTGAATACAGAGTGAAAAAATGATCAGTCTAGTAAAGAGGCTGAGAAGGCAGTGCTGTGATGAAGAGCTAAACAAACTGAGATTTCCTATTCTTTTTAGAACTTCTCCTGATTAAAGCATCACTTTGTGTTAAATATTTTGTTTCAACAAGTACCAAAAAAATACATGTCCCTTTAAACTGAAAAAAGTTATTTGCTTAAAAAACAAAACAAAACACAAAAAAACCCACACAAACACACTATACAGTCAAGTATGACATGCCTCCCTGATCTGGGGCCTAAGCCTAGCACTTCCTGTTGTTCATTCTAATAAGACCTGGACAAAATAAAGTCCTTCCCTAGAGGGTTCAGTATCATTCAATATTGCTGCCCTTTTCAGTGTCAAACCTTCCACATAAGACCAGAGAGAAATGCATAGTAAAAGTCTTCTGAACCTGTCAGTGTTTTAGAAAACTGAGCTCATTAAGACACAAGTATTTCAATGGAAAGATTTTTTTTTTTTAATGCAACCGTGTGTGAGAATGCAGTTAAATGCCGTCAGCATTTCTGCATGTGCTCAAAAGAAGCAAAATCTGTGTTGCATAAGAAACTTTAGTTCTGTCTTTTTCTAACTTTGAGTTTTTGAATTTGTACCCGATACCAGCACAGGTGTGTTTCATAATTACACCTAAATTTAATTTAGAAACTATAATTGAACTTAATCTGTGCATCATTCAAGTCTACTCTTAACCATATTGTGCTAGGGTATCTCACTGATGTTTTGCATATATCACTTAAGTTTTTCAGAAATATATTTTACCCCCAAATATAAAACAGAAAAATGAGTTGAATAAAAAAAATAAAACTTACAAAATACCAGTTGATTTTTTCCATAGTTGTGTTCTACCTTGTAAAAAATACTAAAAAAAAAAAATCATAGTAGTAGTACACTATGTACCATAGGCATCCAGCTAGAACTTACTATATGATCATTCAGTTGTTTTGCACAATGCTTACAACTAGATGGCAGCTTTAACTCATGTATGAACAGTATATCTGGTTCAGTATAATTTTAAGACTGCATGGTACTTTTTACAAATATCAAAAGAAATCAGAATAAATATCTTGGTTTAAGACTTAACTATACTTTTTCAGAAAACTTTAAACTTTCACAAGTAGTGTATTTTATATTTTTTTTCTAACTGTTTTCCCCTAGAACACATACAATAATTTCACTGCATATTTATACTCTGTAAAAGCTGTAGAAATAAGTAAGCTTTGGGAAGAAGCATAAGGTAGTGGCATTTACCTGTTCTACAGAATGAACTACATTCATTACACCAAGGTAAATAGTTTTGTAAGTGAACTTAAACATTTTTTTAAAAGATTTTTCGTTACTTAATAATAGCCAATAATATCAGAAACTAATGAAGAAGAGGCTGGACATGGTGGAGAACAACAGCACTTAACACAAACGGTAGTGTTAAAGAAAGATTTTAAACCACTGGAGTTTTGCTAATATATGCTGTTCTCAAAGATATCACATCAATGAAGAAGATTGATGTGTCACACCAAGTGAAATCATTCAGAAGATACAGGCTAATCTAAACCTCATTGGTGTGATTGACTCAGGTCAGCTCACCTCATTAAAGGTTGTGGACAGGCCTGAAAAGGTGATGTAAGTGTGCTGCAGTATTGTTTGGCCTATGTTGCCAGTTCTCATACACCTGTTCTGACATTATTCCCCGATTTACATAAATTAATAACCTTGCTTTGCCAGAAGAATTCCCACACACACACCTTAAAGATAGATGCATTGTTTATAATGACAAGATTATTAGCACCTTTAAGGCTAGAAACTGTTCCATACCAATTAAAACTGTAACACAACACTAGTTTATCTGACTTAATTACAGTTAAAAGAAGTGTGACTCAAATGGTCACACTGACTAAGAAAGGAAATCTTTAATCCTCTGGATGGGAAAGAACAAGTTAGCATAGTTTAAAAGTACAGGGAGAAATTACTAGTTTTGGACTGTGTCCTAGAGATGCTTTTCACTTTTAATATGAAATATGAAGCCAACCATTGAGTCCCTATTGACAGTTATGAGTCCACCTCAAAAAAACAATGGGTTTCCTCAGGCAGTAGGTCTGTACTAGAAGGAGTGTTTATATTTACTCTTGCTTTCTATTAATTAATGGGTTTAAATGTTGGTGTTTGGGAGGCCCTGTTTTTAAGTTTTTAATAGCTAACATCTTGAAGGCTATGTTTCAAATACTACAAGAAGCCTATTGACAGCAGTACACCTAACAAGTCAATAGTTTGGCTCCTATCTAGCGGTCAGCAGCAATTTATAGATAAATCAAATGAGGTGTTATGATGGCATTACATTGTTTTCTTTGTTTATCTTTTTGGTTCAGGAAAGAACTAAGTATATCTCTTGCTTGTCTGATTCCCAAATACCAGTTCAACAGCAACCCGTGTCTTCCATCAGGCTGATTAGGGCTTTCTTCGCCCCATCCAGTCCTTTTTTACCAGAATGGGATAGAAAAGAGGGATCTTTGCACAGAAGTAGCCTGCTCCGGTGCTGAAAGCTTGCAGGCAGTGTGCCTTACACCCAGGACAAGAGGCAATCTGGCCCTGACTACCTGGAAAGTCATTTCCCCTAATTCTGCTAAAAGGCACTCATAAGTAAAATACGAATTTTACCAATACCAGGTTTTAAACTGATTTCCTAATATAAATCAGTTTTCATATCTTGGTGATAAACTAGTCCCATCTTTAATAGAAACCTAATCCTCTGCATTTTTTCTGTAAGTTGTGTATATTTTATCATTAGATCAGCTTTTAATCTCCTGTTACTCTTAGTTCTGAATGTTACATTGTTAGTTTTCAAAAATGAATGCAACACAAGAAAATTTCCAGCCAGCAGAAGCTTAAGTAATTCTATGATACAGAATTAACGCAGAGGAAACTTATTTTCCTTCCTCAGAACTTGTACTTATTAAGTAGCTTAACAAATATGTTAAAGTTCATACCTAAAAGTGTGATATTATCAGGATTTTTTTTTTCAGTTTTCTTGAGCACTTCACAGGTTTTTATAACACACAGCATACAAGTGAAGATGTACCACAGTTGCATCTCAAGGGTGTGGTTATCATGTATTTAATCTATGTATGTAGACTCCATTCCCTAAGGGCTTAATCTTTAGTAGGACATAAGTAGACTCTGTATAACAATACTGCACCACTCAGAGTTTGTATCAGTCTGACTGTAAGAGCTAAAAAGGTACAGAAATTCCTGAGCATGCACAATGCCTTTCAAACTACAGTGCACGCAGACGTTGTTAAGTGATTCACATTCTCACCCAGTTTGCCAAGTCCATTTTTCCTTATATGATCACATTTAATATTTGGTTATTCACAGGGACATGATAACTGCTAACATAAGAATGGCTAGCATTTCTACCATCATATGTTCAGAACATGTCTGGGATCTTGTGATCATTACCAGTCTACATTTTGGCATCAACAGACCTAGGAAAATGTATTGCAATAAGATGGCATTGACACGTACTGACAGATAGCTTTGACATGCATTTCCCCACATTTAGGCTCTGCTTGAATTGCCATTTCAGTGAAGTTCCTCCCTACAAAAATAAGGGAAAAAGACTTGCAAAAAAGTACATTGGATTCCATTTGACACTAACTTACTAAATTCAGCTTTCAAGAAAACCACTTTAATTTTTATCTGAATTAAAGAGAAGCCACATTAATGATGTCATTAGTAATACAATTGTCTATTGTCACATGTAGATAAGTACTTTCAGGATCAGCAGAACAGATTACAAATGCACATCTCATTTTCTGACACTAATCTGTAGAGAAAATACTCAAATAATAATCTGAGTTCTGTAGAGGAAATACTCAAGTAATAATCTGAGTTCTATCCCGAGTTGCTTAGTATTTGCATAGCATAAACTACAAATTTCTTTCTAGTTCTTAGAGCCCCGAGGTCTGGGGATGGGCTCTTTAGTCTGTTTCATGAAAATCTGTGTCATTCAGCCAGACCAGAGTTAAACTTTCTTCACTGTTTTTTGTTATTGGAAGCCTGAATTAGCATTAACTTATAAATATTTTGTATATGTAAATATTTCAAGGTGAGAACATAAGTATGCATAAGCATACATTTTCTCAGCAATTTAAATTGCTGAACTCCCAAGAAGTGTCAATTTTCATCTATGTTGCTCACTCTGTGGACATAGAGCATATAAACAGAACTCCAAAAAAAAAAAATCAAATGGAAAGACGACATAAGCCAGTTCTAATAAAATGGTAGTTTACATGCAACCAGCTACTAAGTGCAGGCTATATAGTTTTGCATTTTTTGTTGTTTCCTACAGATTTGTGTCATTTTAGAAGTTATTAAATAAAATCTCCGGTAATGAAATTAAGTGGTTCCTTTCCAGCATTAAAATATTTTATAAGATCAGCCTTTGAAGGTATGCTTGCTTCTTTGAGAATTCTACAGAGAATGTTTTGTAGTTTCCTCTGCTATTATACCAGCACTTAATTGTGCCAGAAAACACCACAGGTTTCAGGCACTTCATTGAAAGCACGGACACGAGCGCAAGCTACAGCATTATGTAAAGCCTTATATTTGTGAATTGTTATAATTAGAGGTATAACTGTTACATTCTTTTAAAATACAGGTTGTTTTCAAGCCTAAGCATTATCACAGAACTAACTCCCCCAGCCAATATGAGATTCATGCAGTTCAGAGCCAAAGACTGCTATTCTCTTGCTCTATCCAAATTAGAAAAGGTAAGATTTGCCTCCCCTGCCCCCCACCCCCAATTTAAATGTTATCATTTTAAAACTTTCTGACTTTGTAACAATGCTTTCAAAACAACTGGAAACAGTGAAATGATTTTATGGTTGGTTGCAGCGCTAATATAAAAGATTATTTTTTCCAAATTCTATTCTGATTTAAGAATGAGGTTTGATTTGAGTTCCATCACTTCAAAATATAATATTAATCCACCAGCCCCCTAGACAGAGGTGGACACAGAATTTGCTCAAGGAAAATTGAATATTTTTGGATAACTGAATATTTAGAGCCAATATGATTTTCCAAGAGGCTGCCACAGGCACTTAATGTGGAAAATATTTTAATTGACTAAACACTTAAAACATATACATCTTTTATTATAATGCATTTTTTAATGCCAATTCACTTTAAAGGCATTATAATTACACATTCTGTAATCATTTCCACATATCTGTATGAGGTATTTGCGTTATTGTGACAGTTTGAGAACAGCAATTGTTCTCTGTCAAAGGGCAGTCCTAGTGACAATAAGGATAGTAACACTACTTAAATGCTAGATAAAACCTTCATATCCTATACATTCTAGTGCACGTGTTGGCATTTTCAAGCTGTGGAACAGGGAGGCTATATGGAGATAAGCTTAATGTAATTTGCTTGTCCAAAATACTATTGCTAAAATATTAGATGGAGCATACTAAGTAGCTTTGTGCATCTGTTTAACTTGGTAAATTCCAGGACAAGCCTCTTTTTCACAGATCTTAGTTGGTGATCTGACCTACTTACCTCTGCAGTGCACAAAACTTACAGTATCACTTTCGTGATCTTTCAGGCCATTTTCTGAGTTTATGAGAGTAAGACAAATAATATCACTGTGCCAGTCTTCAAGGACAGAGATCTTTCGGTCCAGTCATCTCTTTTTCCCCTTCCTATCAATCTAGATATTATTGCTAGGTTCTTTCATGTAGCCTCCCAATCTCTTCACCTCAGATATCTTACATGTCTTAGCAAATCTGAATTAATGCTAAAATAATTATCATTATACAGAATTAGTATATAATTTTCATTTCCTAGCTGTACAGTAAATTTCCTAGATTTTGGGGGTTTCAGATATTTCACTGAATTGCAGATATTTTACTATTTATAATGTTCACAGTTAGTTAATTTCTATATATATTGAATGGAAAACAGCCTTTTCATACAAACTTATCTTCACAGGCCAGCTCCCAGATTCTTACACAGGAATTGAATTCTGCAAAAATTCAGCCTGTCTAGATGAGATAGGATAAGTATTAGAAATCAATCTTTTACTCATTTGACTATCATGCTTACATTTTGACCACAAGATGGAAATACCTGGGTGATCTTTTGTGATTTGTTGACCTTTGCCTGAAGATTAAGCCTTCGTACTATTTATTTAGGTGCTATTCTGATAAGCACATAAAACGGAGAACTGTGAGAAAGCTAGACAAAAGTTTTTACACCAAGAGAGGAGCAGTTTGCAGTGGGAGGCACATCTTCATTTGGATTATGCCACGCCCACTATCCATTAAGGTTTGCACCTGTGGCTCCTCCATTTTAGCACTCTGTCCTTCAATGGTACCTTCAGGAGGTAGGTTCCAGAATAAGCTGGAACTGGCTGGAATCATGCATTGCCAGTTTATTTAGGGCAACAAGTGCCAACAGCTGGATGGCGCCTTCAAGACTATATTCCAACCTATCTTAAGTTCCTTGGTGTACTGACAGCAATTTTTTTTTTTTAAACATATTCCTCTAATCCATACACAGTTTAGTGATAAGGGGAGGTAAGAATAGCAATAGCTTTCCCAGTATGTGGTGTCTACAGTTGCTTCTGGAATAGTCCACGGGCTGTAGCCTGTCTACTTCAATGCAGTGAAACCACGATTTTTATCTCAATTCTCCTTCTTGCTTTACATAGGCTCCTTCATTTTTCCAGCAAAGGTTCTGGAAATCATTAGAAATACTATAATTTCTTCCCTATCTTTATTAATTTATTGTGCAAATGTAAAGTTGTGAATGTAGGTTGGAAGCCAAACAGTTAATTAACTTCCTATCCAAACTACGTTATGCTGAAATAGAGGTAGATAAATTATCTTAAAGAACATTTTCTTCATTGCTGTTGAAGTTGCCTGCTGTTAATATTTCCCACTCATTTCATCTTAACATTTGCAGGGAGCACTTCACAGGTGGTGCTGTAGTTCATTTGATGTTTCAGAACTCCCTCGTGCAAAATGAAAGGCAGTTAAAAACTCAAGTAAAAATTATCTAATGCAGTCAAATGTACAGATGATTGTTATTTCTGCATTAAGCACCTCATTTTCAGAAAGACTACAAAAGACAGGCAAGTTGCCTTCAGGTAGCACTGAAACACACATGCAAAACTGACTTTTCAACCTAATGGGCTACAGAAGAAAGATACACAAATCAGAGAAGTCATCTGCTGTTGCAGCTGCAACTTTCCTCATTTTAGAGATAAATAAACCTGAACACCAAACTCAGTACTGACATAGGAGAAAGCAGTGGCCCTTATACAACACAGAAAAGGAAAGAACAAAACACCCATAGCCTAAACGTAAAACTTATGTTCTCCATTTGTCTTAGATAAGGGAAAAAAGAAAAAAAAAAAAAAAAAGAGATAACCACTCCCTCTTTCTCAAAAGAAAGGGTTTAGAATGTCTTGGATAAGATTCACACTTTAGTTTTCTATGGTTTTTTTTTTATTTATTTTCCAAGTAAATATCGCAGGAACTGAAGGATAAAAATTCTAAACCTTTAAGTGATCATTTTAAAATATGTGCAAACTCCTATATCTTTTAATCAAACCCATACTGTGATTTTGTATCTTCCACAAGGATAAGCACGTAAATGTTAGGTGAGCAGAAATCTATCTGGGATAGCCCAGTATATTTGCAGTGATATACACAAAGCCAGGCTGCTTTTTTCACCTTCAATTAAGGATAGGGCATGCTGTCCCCATTTGTTTTTAATATTGTTCAGGTTTTAAGCAGATTTGAAGTAACATTAAGTAATAGCAAGCAGTAATGATATATGGGTTATAAAAAATAAATTGGTCCCTCTCAATTGGTGTCTTATTTTAGGTGGATCTCTAATGATTTACATAAGCTACAATTCTAAAACTGTATAAATAATTAGCATACACATTTGGCTATTGAACTGGCAGGTTTTTAGAAAGCTGTTCCAGATAGACAACAGAAAATGAATCTGTTCTTGCCAAAAAGGTAGAACAGAATCAATTAAGAACACACAGTCCAAAATACTGTAAACTGTTCTAGAGGTGAAGTGTTATCGACCCAAAATCCCTTATGTCAAGAAAGGTACTGTAAAGAGGTTTCCATGTCCAGATTTCTATCAGTCTTATATCTGACATGGGCAACAACCAACATTTACCAAAACTAACAGTGCACCGACTGTTCCCTGTAATAAGCCACTACCTCTGTCACCTTTATATGTTCTTGCATGACCCCCAACCCCTCCCCCCATATCCTTGTATGTTTATTAAAGCAACTTTGCATTGTTTGTACGCAACAGTTACAGCCCATCATGGCAGCTCCCATATTACTGTCTATATCGGAGGAGAATATATTAAATCAAGATGGGCCTTAGATCTCTTTCAACCACTGACAGAGTGGCCAAAAGAGGGCTTCAGGTTAGTCAGGGGTTGGTTCTTTTTTAGTGGTATCATAGAATTAACTGTTATGAAGGAATAGGTATTTATTTAGAAATAGTAAAAAGATAAAACCATGATAAAGAACCCTAAAAAGGATTTGATACAAATATAAATTGAGGTAGAAAAGAGGAAAATAAACTGAAAAGCTTATGAACCTGACCTTCTGGGCAGATATTCTCTGGTATTCTGACAATATGCAAACCCAAAAGGAAATAATTAATTAACTTCAAATTAAATTACCTATATGGAAGAAGCACATGCTAAGAACTTCTCAAAGCCACAAGTGTACACCTGTTATTACTTAGAAAGAAAGCAATAAAAATTCTGAACTTCATGACTTGAGCAAAGCCACAAACATAGGAAGACTGAGGAGGAAGTAAAGATCTCCATCTATTAATAGCTGTGTCTTAAAATGTCATCTATACGTGTGAAGTTCTACAGGACACACATGCCATGATCTTTTATTTCTGTTCCTAGAAATTATCTATGATTTTCTTTAAGTAGTTATATCCTCTTCCTTATTAAGTCCAAAAAGTGTCAGGGAAGGAGCTGCTGGGCATCACACTTATCGTGAAATAAAACTGCTGGGGCATTCTGGCACATTTGTGGCTCCTACATCCACAGTATTCTCTGGGAATCGAATAAGTCTGCAAGTAATAAAGCAGAACTCAATGCAAAGTGCCTGAGTAAAAATTGTATTTCTCACAAATCTCTTTTTAAGCAAGAATAAAGAAAAAGCAAGCCCGTAATAAGAGATGGAAGGAAACAATATAAGAAATATAAATTAAAGGGGGGAAATAGACTAAGCTTCCATTTTAAAATAAAACAAATAGGAACATCCTTATGTTTATCATCAGAATTTTGGATAAGAATCAAATTATTCCCCAATTATCTCTTGCCTTATCCCACCTTTCTTGGCACAAAACCAAGACTGCAAATTTCTCCGAACAGATGGAAGGATAAACGTAATACCTCAGTCACATGACAGGATAGTTGCTTCACAGCCAGTTTTCTATAAAATATTTTATGGCATAAATCTAAAAGGATGTAATGTATGTTATAATATGCATGTAGTTTTGATTTTCAAGTATTTGTTGTAAAACAAATCTTACAATCTTTTCCATAATTCACACACAAGTTTTTGTTCTCAACAGCAAATGAAGAAAAATATCTTCTACTTTGTCTGACTGCACTAAAAGAAAAGCACTCAAATATGAGATCAAACTACAAAATACATAAGTTCTCATTTCTGTGCCTTACATCACTAAGCACAATGGTATGCTTATCTAAGTAAAGTGCTTTTTGTACAATTAGACTGCTTTTTTCTTCAACTGACAGAAGTACACAACTTGCTAGAAACACCCCTTTGCTGCTCAGCCATCAAAGCACACGTGTGTCTGCATATGTGTGTGAGACAGTATGAGTATATATGTACATATGTATTTCTCATGGAGAAGAAACTAATACAAGCCAGTAGTATTTGGTCAGAACATAGAGAATGTTTGGAATAAAAAAACCTGAAATAATAATTTTATTTCCTTAAAAACTTTGAAACCTCTTTAATCTGAAGAGATGGACAGAGGTGACATTTTATAAAGGACAGATTAGTGTTATATTTTTAAGAGTTATTTGCTGTGTATTTTTATCTGGAGAGGAAATTCCTTGTGTGTGACATCTTTTTCAACTCCACTCATGAAGCCACAGAAATCAACAGGTACAACCAGACTATCCAACAACGACAAACAGGAGTTAAAATGCTGCTGTTCAACAAAACCATTAGTTAGAGCAGACTGCTCATTTGCATATCGCAGAATCAGAGCATGGTTAGAGTTGGAAAGGACCTCTGGAGGTCATCTTGCCTAAAGCCCCTGCTCAAGCAGGGCCACCTAGAGCCAGTTGCCCAGGACGATGTCCAGAGGGCTTTTAATTATCTCCAAAGAGGGAGACTCGACAACCTCCCTGGGCAACCTGTGCCATTGCTCAGTCACTGTCACAGTAAAAAAAATGTTTCCTGACATTCGGAAGGAACCAACTGTGTTTCAGCTGGTGCCCATTGCCTCTTGTCCTGTCCCCTAGGCACCACTGAAGAGAGCCTGACTATTTTCTCTGCACCCTCCCTTCAGGTATTTATATACACGAGATCCTCCCTGAGCCTACTGTTCTCCAGGCTAAACAGTCCCAGCTCTCTCTCAGCCTTTCCTCATAGGAGAGATGCTCTAGTCCCTTGATCATCTTAGCAGTGCTTTTCTGGACTACCTCCAGTAGCTCCATCTCTCCTTGTACTGGGGAGCCTAGAACTGGACGCAGTACTCCAGGTATGGCCTTACTAGTGCTGAGTAGAGGGGAAGGATCACCTCCCTCAACCTGCTGGCAGCACTCCTCCTAACGCAGCCCAGGACACCATTAGCCTTCTTTGTCACAAAGGCACATTGCTGACCCATGTTCAACTTGGTGTCCACCAGGACCTGCAGGGTCTTTTCTGCCAAGCTGCTTGCCAGCCAGCCAGTCCCCAGCATGTACTACTGCGTATACGTGGTGGATGTAAGTGTCTCAATTCCGAGACATGTAACATTTCTGTACTTTGAGAACACATCTTATTCTTCGTGACATCTCTGAACTGAAAGCTTGATGTTTCCTCTCTTCTTAAAATAACAAAGTGACTTCCAACCTGTAGTTTTAGTCTCTGATAACTGAAGGAATAGGAAGCACATTGTGGTGTGATTCCTCTGCAAGTGAGATGTGATAAGAAAAAGGCATAACCATAGTATGTTTTTCTGCATTCCTTTCCCAGAAGCATCAGAGCAAGAAGTTTCTACCCCAGTCCATGTCTGATCTCCCCTCACATTCACTGAAATACCATTTCTTCCCTTTTGCATCAGATTCTGTTCATGTTTCATAGTAAACTTTCTGGACCTGAATGAGAGTCCACTGTCAACACCAAGGAATTGGAGCAGGAATAACAAGAGCTTTGCTCTAGGCACAGTTGAAATCCCTCAATCATTTTTAAAATTACCTGGTAGAATATGCCCATGCAATTTGAGACGTGATGATTGAAACAACATACACATTAAACAAAATCTTCCAACCTGAAAAACTGTAAGTACTGAACAAAGATGCTACATATTTGTCAAAAGAAACTATATTCAGAGTCAAGGGATTGTACACTTTTGACCTCTTTCAAGGTAATATCAATTTGATGTTTTTATTATAGTCCTTCCAAAACCAGCACTAAAAGTATTTTCTATTTTCTAATTCCTTAACAGAAAGAGCGGGAGAAGGGATCTAATCTAGCATTTATGTTTCGACTGCCCTTCGCTGCTGGCAGGGTTTTCAGCATCAGTATGTTGGATACGCTGCTTTATCAGGTACTATGAACAATAATGTGACTTATCTTAACACAGGCATGCATTGTTACCACCTATTTTATTGTACTTCATTGTTAATGACCCTGTTTTCCTACATGAAAGCCATCAATGTGCATGTCTGTACCAGGAACAATCAAAGGCAAAAGATAGTGGAGCATGTTCCACATGACAGTACTAGCTCAGTTACCAACCCACAAATCACCTTGTCCTTGCACAAATTCTGTTGTTAAACAATATAATACTGTTTGTGAACCTCTCCACAGTCAAATAAGTGTGTTAGTTTTGATAAGGCCTACGTAAAATACAGATTATACAGACTAATAATGCTTGTACTCTGCAACAAAAAGGCAGTGCTTGTTCCCACAAAGTAGTGTGTCTAACCACAAAAATCAACAGAATTACTTTTATGAGTAATTTATCAGTCATCTGCATTTGCTGATAGAGGCCTCAATTACTTCATTGTGTCCTGTCCTCTTACTCATGTTGACTAAACCTCCAGATGACCAGTCATTGTATCTTAAAGTAACCCATTCTGGCTCTAACAAGAAATATATGCAGCGGTTACAAAGAGACAGTGGGGGAAGAAAAGGCAGCACTGAACCTTGTTGCCCAAGAATCCAGGATGGACCTCCTCATGCAAAAAGAAGTGATGACAGTCAGTGGGGATAAGGGAAGGGCAACAGCCTCAGACAGTTGAAGAAACAATATATCAGAAAATATGGGGTCAGGACAAATGAAGGTAGTAGTTGCTGATTTCAGGGTGGAAAAAGAGGAGAATATTGCCCTCGTTCCTCAGCAATGACCACCTTTCTGCATACCATGATACATTGGGATCCCCAAGCAACAGTCCCCAGCACTAATCTTCAAGGATCTAGCAACGCAGAATAAGGAGCAACACCACCATGGCCCATGTGGTCCGCTCACCTAAACAGCTACCTACTTTGCCTATACCTAGAGGTAGCCTGTGGATGCTTTTGTATTCAGGTGCTAAACATTCTTTCAGAGAAATTAGCTTACTTGGTAATTTGATGCATGACAGGTGTTCTTTCATCTCGATTCTACTTCCAAATAAATTCCTTGAAGGCAAATTCAACATAAATAGAAAAATTCCTGAAGCTAAGCTTTTCTCAAAAAGTCATTAATTTATAAAACAGAAGCAGATAAGCCAACAGATGTAAAGCCATTTATCAAATTCTAGATGCTTTAGAAATAGATGTATTTGCTTATAAAACATGTTTTCAATCATGTCACAGAATATCAACACCACATATGGCAAAAGTTTTTTTAAAAAAGTAGATTAAGACACCTGTATAGAGGCAGATCTGTCATTATCAACAACTTCTGCCAGCCCATAAGAAACTTCAATATTTTATGTTTGCTCCTAGACATGAGCAGTCATGCTATGACTTGACAGAATAAAACCATTCACCAGAAAATGTTTAAAATAAAAAACCCACATACTCATTCTCACTCAAATTCCACCCACTCTTTCTTTGAACTCCTGCTGCTCAGGTGAACTGTCATTTTCCTAGAATTATCTTTTGTATTTCAAGTTACAAATACTATGACAGCAAGTTCTGTCTGTTCTTTTTCATGGTCCCATTCTTTTCTGTATGACATCTTTTTCTTCTGCATACAAGGAACAGAATAAATGACATGGGAAACAGCAGAGTTCATTTGGTGCTTCCTATTTTAGGCCAAAAAAAAAAAGCCTTCAAATTATCTTTACGACACTGACTGAAAAAAATGAACGCTTGGTCTAGCAAATCCTTGTGAATACGCTTAGTAATCTAATGATAATTCCATAGCATAAATGATGCAGCCAAAATAACAAATAAGTGAAGGTTACAAAAAATTTTGTCCTTTTCAGGAAGATGCTCTGGCATTTACCCCGTCACAACTAGAAGATTACCAGTACAAAAATTAAAACAGTTGAATCACTATGTATCAAATTAAATGTCTAGCTTCTGAGTTTAAACAAATTCAGATGCTATAACTCTAAAGGATTTATATAACACCTTTGTAAGGTGTTTTATTAAAACCTATTTGCTGCTAGCTCCGTATTTGCATTAAGCTAAAAGAGCAAATTGCAAGTTGTGTTCCAACAAGGATTGATAGCCTGCCTTGAATGCTGCTCTACTACACCTAAGAAGAGGTGGCAACAAACAGTCCTACCACAGTTAGCAGAGCACCCACATGGCCCTCCGATTCCAGCAGCCGAACTCATAAAGAGGAGAAATAGTTGTGATTTTAGCTGATCTAATGTCTGTTCCCGGTCTTAGGCTACACTTCTACATTTAGCGTAATTTCTACCTTTTAACCAATCAGCAAAACACTTCTGTTAGCAGAGCAACAAGCCTGACCCGAGGTAAGGCAGATCAACCCTTAAAAAAAAAAAAAACACCAGATGGATTGGCGAAGGCAAATGACTCATCTGAATTAAAATGGCAGCAGTCTCACCTTAGTATTACCCACTACTCAGTACTGCAGACCCATCTAACATACAACAGCGTTTCTTTTGCACAGAAGAGTTCATTACTATAATTTCACACCTAATAAGGCTAACACCTTACTTCCGTTGATCTTACATCTACATTCATCTTTGCTTTCATGGTGCGTTATTATGCCTTAGTCCGTTTGAATCCTGTATGTACATTGCATGCATATGCAGAACCAAATAAGAAAGCTTATTTTATGTAAGAAGATTCAGCACAAAGAAGGGGATAGCTATTTCTACAGTGATTAAGATACTTAAAAGATAGAGATTGATTGTAAACACAGATGTCCAATTTCTTTGAAATTCACACATAGTGCATGGTTACCTGCTCATCTGTTCATTAAAGCTTTTTTCTTTCTTTTCCATCTCTCCTGTTACAAATCTTGCAGTCATTTGTGAAAGATTATATGATTTCTATCACAAGACTTCTGCTGGGACTTGATACTACACCAGGATCTGGGTTTCTTTGTTCTGTAAGTTATTAAAAAAAAAAATTACAGAGTACCAGAGAAGATTTTGTACTGTCTGCACAATACCTGTACTTTCATTGTATGGCACTTCCTTTTGTGAAAGTCCAAGAAAGGCCATCTGTCTCCTTTTTCACCAGGGGAGAAGACGAAAATTAGATAGAAAACATACCCATTCTGAGTTACTTCCACAGTAAAAAACACACACCCAGCCCCCAAGAAAACACAATACATTCTATAAAGCACAATGTAAAATAGGAAAGACAGAAAAACACAGGAAAAGTGCGTTTTATATGAAAAAGCAATGGCAGTTCAGCAACCGATTTTAGAAATTAAGTATATAAAAACCAGGAAGCACTACCTATATTGTACAGCCTGGCTAGCACTTGCACACAATGCTATTTCACAACACCCATTTCCATCATAGGCAATAAAGGGCAGAACCAGATTTTACATAAAGATAAGATGTATTAAATGACTTTAGTTTAGGTGTCAAAGTTCAAAAGTCATCTTGTTATTATGTATGCCAATATTCCCCAACACATAGTTTTTTATATTTTTTTATATGTATATATACACAAAAAAGAAAACCATAAAAATTTATTTTTTATTAAAAATAAAACCCACCTTTCTGTTTTCTCCCACACCCATCACACCCCACGTGGCAAACAGATAAATAGAAGTTATTTACCAGTTGCTTTCTGGGGATCTATAAAGAATTGCAGGATGTTGTTCTCAAAAAGGAGGTTATCAATGATGGTTTAAGGAAGTTGTTATCTCTGAAAAGGGGCTCACATATCTTGAAATAAAGCTAGTGTAATAGTAATGAAATACTTGAGATTAATTAGACTTATGCCATTTATGCTTAGTGTATTACTTTCCCCCTACTCCCTTCTCCCCAAATATACAGCCTGCAGTCTAGTGAAGAGTTATCTGGCTGCATTCAAAATATTTGCACGTTCTTCAGTCTGTCCGTCACCAGTTTCTTACTGCTGCCACTGTTTAGTTCATTCTTTTATATTTAGTCAGATATGAACACTGGATGAAGGATGCCATATAAGTGTTTAAGTAGTTTTAAAGCAAGAACAGAAGTAATTTCATAAGACAACCATTTGCACTGCAATGTCTCCCAAACAGGGAGAGAACAAAAGAAACAGCGTCTACAAACTCAATAGTTCCAGATTTGTTGTGGAGCAAGGGTGCAATACTACAATGTGATCATTACCAGCTAGTGTTTAGTTTTAAAAATTTTTCAAGAGTAGTATAGTGAACAAGTGATAAGCCCTCAAGAGTTAAAAGTCCTCCTTCCTATTATTTGTTCAGATGAAAATCACAGAAGAGGATCTATGGATTAGGACATATGCCAGACTATATCAGAAACTTTGTTCTTCTACAGGAGACATTCCAATTGGAGTCTATAGGACAGAATCACAAAAGCTTACAACATCTGAGGTATGTCAGTTTACTATACTTTTCTTTGGATTTGATTACAGAGTATGCAACATTCTTTGGACCTCATAAGAATGGGAACCAGTTATTTAAAGAATATTGTGAATGCCATATCTGCAAATGCACAGAATTCTAATAACCCACTGAAGGTCTCCCTCTGCTGATGCATATATGGTCACATTAACTCAGGGCTCACATTTAGCCCCAGACTTCATGAATACCCAGAGCCAGTCTACATACTGACTTTCATTCCTGTGCTCGCCTATAGAGAACTGGCTGATTGAAAACAAGGGGCAGCTCAGACACAGATAGGACAGGCTAGGATAGTTAGCTCTAGTCTGAACTTGCATGTGGTGACTCATGGCAGTATCCATTACAAGCTGTATGACCAGGTCCTGTATCAGGTGTGACAAGAATGTCAACACTATATCTCAAAACAAGTGTCATTTCAGTATTCATGTGAATTTCTAACTAGAAATGAGCAACAAGATAATAAATTAATGTTATCAGAAGTATTGTGGGATTTCTCGAAATTTAACTGCCAAACAATGTTAATTTTTTTGTATATATGTATTTATGTCTGCCATATAAATGTATACATTTCTCCCTATATATATATGTAAAGGACAAAAATACTTTTTCCTGACTATTTAACATACATTTTTGTTTGTGCAGCTTTTATTTCTGTCATAAGCCATTTGTTTACATGATCATTAATACTGCCATCTCATTAAACCATGGCTCAAATACAACTGTAAAATGCAACAGTGAACAACAACTTTCTCCTTTCTTCTGAAACACTCAGACATAGTTTATTGATTTCCAGGACAGACAATTTGTATTTTCTCTTCCATATGTCAGAAAAATGTTATAAAACATTAAGCCATGCAATGCTTAACTGCAAGATTTATCTTGAAGGAAGTACAAACATTCAGTTAAAGTTAATTTAAAAATAAGTGTTACAAAAACCTATGCAAGATTCCACCAATTTCACTAGTCTCTCTCTTTGTGGACCATCAATACCTCTATAGGTGGCTTTTACAGCTTAGCCAGTAGACTGTGCCACTGCAATAATGTCAGCTGATTTTTTTCAATATAACAGCATTAACATAATCCATCAATATCATTCCTTGGAGAAGAATATAGGTGGCATCACTGCTAATATGAAAAAAAGTCTGTCATAGCTTTCAACAAAACAGAGGACATGCCAGATTTTAAGAATTCATTAAATAAGGATAAGTAAAATTGAATTCATGGCACTGCTTTATTCTCACATTCACAGCTGGCTATTTAACTTCAAGTCCAAATAAGAGAATCAAGAACAGCTGAACTGTGAGCATACAACCTATTGTGAAGGGTACATTTTTGTGGCCTGTTTTTTTTTCCTTTCTGCATTTTCACATGCTTTCAAACATACAGGCTGACTGTCAAACAACATCTGTACAGGCGAGGAGTAACTATTAAGAGTAACAGTCATCTTTTCTACATGAACTTTTTTTTTTTGGCAGGGGGGTGAGGGCTAAGCATACACACTCAAGTCTTCTGAGGCAAGCTTAACTGATAAATTAAAGATCTTTCAAATGTTTTTCTGAAAATAAGGTTTGGGATGACCAGTCACTTAACTCTGAACTCACAATTTTACTATAACATTGGGAACATCTGAAGCCTGTGCACATGCAGCTGCTCAAGTGCTTGATCAGACCAGGCCCAGATTTAGTTTAAGATAGTTATTGATTATCTTTTACAAAAAAGCAATTTCTTAAAACATTCAGACACTGAAACCAGCCTGGAAGCCACTGTCCAATAGATAAGAGGAATTCTGCTGTTACTTCCTACCAGCTTTCACAGGTAATCTCATGAAGAGTTCAAGTTAAATCAGGTAGAGGAAGAAGGTGGCGGAGAGGAGCAGGGAAATCTAGTTAAGTTTTCAAATTGTTAGGTACTGAACTAATGTGGAAGAGTGGCACTGTCTTTATTAAGTGAAGTAAAAGCATTTGTTACTCTTTTGTGAGCTTTTTAAAAAAAGCTCAAGGCTCTGAACGCAACCTCCCAGTGGTATTTTCACATTTAAATACTTCAGAGTTTCTTGTTTGGTGGGTGAGCATTTGTGAAACCCCTCCCCCTCTAGAGGCAGGCAGGGGATTCTTCCCTAACCTAGCTCTTCCCCAGAATACCAAAAAGCAACATCTGGCTCTGCTTCTGTGGTCTTTATGGGTAGATACCTACAAATGCCGAGATGCAGAAAGCTGCAATCTTTCTGCAAAGTGTTTCTTTTGAAGTTAAAGGAATTTTCAACTAATTTCACTAATAAAATAATATTAGCGCCGGCTATCATTTTAGCTTTTCAATATATTAAGCCAGAAACAACTTTAAAATATTGTTGGATGAGATCTTTAAAATGGAGGTTAGAGAAATGTAAATTGCTATTTTTGTCAGGAATTATGAACTTCATAATTTGAAGGTTTCTAACTCAGAGAACCTCCAATGTGTATATCAATTTGAGTTTAAACAGACATATAAAACTTAATTTGTATTGCACACACCTGGAAGCTGTCGGTTAATGGTTAACTTGAGTCACAAGAACAAAATATGCCAATATTAATATTTCTATATATACGATTTCTCATTTGACACCCCCTTTTTGTACTATGCAAACAAGAAGCCCTCACTTTGACAGATAAATATAATTCCTTTAAAAAAGGAAGTAAGTTTTCAGTGATCTAGTTACTAAATAACAAGCAAATCTGGGCTGCCTCTCAATGACCTGCACCTGTGACTCAAACTATTTCCATTTCATTAAAAAAAAGGAGCTATGAAGTCTTCCTTACTAACCGTGTAGCTGATTTTCTGTGGTTCCTGTTAAACAGTCCATGTTGATTTCTTTAGATTCACTTCTGTTTAAAATGTCTTTTGTTTTCTTTTTCCCCTTCCTTTGTCAGTCACGAGAAACGGCTTCACAAGTAAGTATTTGCTTATTGTCTGCCTGTTTCTGGGTGTCGTGGTTTAACCCCAGTAGGCAGTAAGCACCACACAGCCGCTTGCTTGCTTGCTCTCCACCAGTGGGATGGGGGAGAGAATCAGAAGGGTAAAAGTGAGACAACTTGGGGGTTGAGGTAAAGACAGTTTAATAGGTAAAGCAAAAGCTGCATGTGCAAGCAAAGCAAAATAAGGAATTCAGTCATTACTTCCCATCAGCAGGCAGGTGTTTAGCCATTTCCAGGAAAGCAGGACTCCATCATACATTCTTGGGAAGACAAATGCCATAACTCTGCAAGTCCCCCCATTCCTTCATCTTCCTCCAGCTTTTATTGCTGAACACAGTGCCATATGGCACGGGATATCCCTTTGGACAGTTTGGGTCAGCTGTCCTGGCTGTATCCCCTCCCAACTTCTTGTGCACACCCCCCCAGCCTGTTCACCGGCAAGGCACTGTGAGAAGCAGAAAAGGCCTTGACTCTGTGTAAGCATTGCTCAGCAATAACTGAAACATCCCTGTGTTATCAACACCTTTTTCATCACAAATCCAAAACATAGCCCCATACAAGCTACTATGAAGAAATTTAACTGTATCTCAGCCAAAAACAGTACACTGGGTTAAACCCTGGGAGTAGAATCCTTACAGGAAATGGAACTATGCAGTGGATCATCCTTAAGTAAATAAGCTTAAAGCAACATTGTTCTGGATACAAACATCTTATTAAAAGTCTGAACACTGACAGACTGGGGCTTTCAAAAAAGCTCAATGGAATTTGGTCCCTATTGGGCCTGTCCCTGTTGAATTCTGAAGATAACAGATCATCTTTACAGTCTGGTGAGAGCCTTGATCCTAAACACCTTAAATGCTAATGGACAAAAATCCCCAAGTTTATCAGAAAAGGAATACTTAACAATAGACAGCTGTTGGAGCAGAAAAGAATTCCTAGAACCCTAGATGCAATTAAGGGCTATTGGTATACAGAACAGTAAAGTTATTTTACCATAAAACTTGCAGTTAGATAAAAATAAGGCATCACTTCAGAATAGAATAGATTAATCTGCACATTAAAACTGTTTCATATTTTTTCACACTTAGCTCCCAGAGAGCAGCAAGGCAAGGGAACAAAGATCCAAGAAACTGATGTTTGGTATTGTAGCGCTGTTACCACCATACTCACAACCACCCTGACCATCTCAAATATGAACACTGGTGTGTTCATGACTACATTCCTGTTCCTGCCACGTGTTGGCTAACCTGAGCTAGTGTTTAAATAAGGGTATGAAATATCCTGCTGGAGCACCTTGGCTGAGTGGAAAAAACCCTGTGGGTCACAGAGTTCACAAGTGAGCAACCACACTCATTTGGTCACACAGTCTGATACTTGAGATGGGAACCTGCCTTTACAAAAAAAAAACAAAACACCTGAAACTTAAAAAAAAGGTTTAAAGGCAAACATTTCTTCACTTTATGTGCAACATGCAGATTTTTCCCCAGTAAAAATAGCAGTGATTATGTAAAGATTTAACATACACCTTGGTATTTTCTAGATGTTTCTATTTTAAGGAATCTCAAAAAAAGATATATACACTTCATAAAACATAAGATGATCAATTACTACTATATAGTAGTAGTGACACCATATCATCAGTTATGCTTTTCATACAGCAGGTTTACAAGCTATGCAAAAAGAAAATTAAATGAAAAGAAATTAAAGCAACCAAACCTCAAAATAAATCAGTGATAGTTACAAAAGTATTTTTAAAGAAAGTTTGAGACTGATTAAAACAGAGGGGGACACGCAGAAATACTCTGCACTGGGCTTTTATCTTCTATGTATTAAACAGCTGCCACTGGCAGGCACACTTTTGCGCTGCCTTTCAAAGATGGTTTGGGTTTCTTTGGTTTTGCTTTGTCTTTAAACAGTTTAGTTTTTTCCTCCTGCATACAGGAGGGAAAAAAAAAAAACCAAAAACTAGAGATGCCAGGGAAGGGGAACCTCAATCCATCCCACTCCCACCAGTTTGATGCCAGGGCCAGCAATAGATGCCCAGAGCCTGGAGAAGGAACACGGCTCAGCAGGAGAGCGCCTGAAGAGCAGCAAAAAGAACCCCCAGCCAGTAAGACAGCTTCATTGGGGGCCCAACTTCAATGCCTCTATGCAAACGCACGTAGCACGGGGAATAAACGAGAGGAGTTAGAGACGTGCACATGCCTGCAGGGCTACGACCTTATTGGCATCACGGAGACGTGGTGGGATGGCTCCTATGATTGGAGTGTTGGGATGGAGGGATACAGACTCTTTAGGAAGGACGGGCAGGGGAGATGAGGAGGGGGTGTCGCCCTCTATGTCAATGACCAGCTGGAGTGCATGGAGCTCTGCCTGGG